ATATATATATATATATAATGATCATTTATTTGTCAATTTATTGAATCTTGAATGTGAAAGTGATCGTAAATGAATATTTCTAGCCTAATGGAGATTTCTCTTTTGAGAATTGTATGTGAAGTTTGGGCGATAAAAAAATGATTTTTCATGTTTTAGAAGGAAGATATTGTCAAACTGCCGGAATTTCAAGAGTTTCAGCACAGGGAGAATATTCAGTGCAGTCACCGAACGAAATCAACAGTCTTTGCTGCAACATTAGATTCCAATTCAACTGGATCGAGGGTATATCCATATCAGCTGTTTCATTGCTTACTTCTCATTTCTATCATCGTATTGAAAGTGATGGTTTCATGATGCACTTTCATATTAGTTGAACAGTTAACTATATGAGTTTTCTTGAATTCTAATTTCCATGAGTTTATAACAGAAATTTCAAAAATATTCTGATGATCAATTCCCAACAAGGAAATATTTTAAAGGGTGCAAACGTTAATCCTTTCGATCATTATTTCTGCAACGAATATTTTTGCACTTTTTGCAATATAACAAAAATAAAGACTCCAACCATCATCTGATATTCCTCATGTTGTTCTAGTTCATTATTGCATTTTTACTGCTTAATATTGCCCTTCATACTTGCGCGATCATAAAGACGAAAAATGTGACTAAATTATTAATAGATTTTATTGAATAAATTGCAAAATTTGAAATTGAAGTTGAGCTGCAATATTTTTTTGTCAATTAGTTTGTAATTTGTCATATTCTCTGTCTCAATTTCTTACGGTAGTAACTTTCCTGTTGTTTTCTATGCTTTGTTTGCAATTTCTTCAGGAAATCCGTGTTTTTGCACCGTTACTCTTGAAGTTTGATTGGAACAAATTTTTCTCAACAAATAAATACAAAATTTTCGGAATAACAATTGTGGCCCAATGAAATGAAAATGTTAAAATCAAAATTATTTTTCAATTTTATATAAATATTTACATGTGAATGCAATAACGGACTAAAGGACATAGAAGTCGACCATAAACATCTGCTTAATACTCTTGATAAATTAATAACGATTGATGGATTCGAATTTGTTTTATGTATATGCGAACACTTATTGTTGAAAAATACCTCTCCGCCAACTTTTATTTATTTATTGTTTTTTATTTATATGAAATCCACCTGTATATATCTAAGTCATTGTTGTACATTTTACCAAATAGTTAGTATGTAAGGAATAAATCTAAAAAGTGCTGTGAAATCTGAATGTATCCTTTTTTGTGTCTTAGTGTCTCCTTGTATATATGATTTTAATAAAACTTTATAATTTTGGATTGAAAATTGTTATTTTATAAAACCAGAAGTAGAAATCGTTTTTTTACGGATCAGGCTCGCTCAAAGGAAGATATTTTGCTAATCTCAGGGTCGTTTAAATCAACCCATGAGATTTTTAACACAAAAACACTAGGATCATTATCTATATAAATATGGGGTCGTATGGTGACGCAATCTACCACATGAAAACTACATTAATCGTGTTTCACTATCTGTGATCCACAACTACACAGAGTGTATGGTGGAAGTTTTCCGACGTGGAGAGGACACATAAAAAGCGACGGTGACGCTATTTAACATAGAGACCATACATTGACCGCATTTGGCGTCATCTAGTGTTAGGAGTTTGTATCGAAGTTCAAAGTACGAGTTTCTACAAATTGAATAGGTCATCAATCGAACAAAAGATAATATTTTACTTTTCATTATATGTCCAAGTTGATGAGTTCATTCCTTCGATACCATTTGTTATTCGTTTTCGCCAGCAACAAACAGACATTTTTGATATTCAATTATACAATAGTAGTACCAGTACTCAGTTTCTCACACTGAATACCTCGTCGGGAGTCATTGGAAACCTCTGAAATCGACTACTTTCAAGTACCGAATTATATGTTTCTATAATGCTGTGGCACCAGATATCGAATTATTCAAAGCATTGAGTTTCCTCCACACGCTTAATTATGTGTCTGTTCCACAAATCTTATTATCAATATTCCTGATTCACTGAAAAGCACATCTTGGAGTTGATTTACGTTAAAAACATTCATATTATCATGTAGAACAGAAACCTCCTCACACTTCTGTACTCCTGATACCAAATTTTCTCCAAACGGTTAGTA